TATTAATCTATGTCTTATATTTCACAAACCGAGTGTATTATGGATGATTAAAGCTTTTAATTTGCCCTGCATGCCATCTGACGCAACAACATAATAGCAACTTTTTTCCCATTCATTACAAATTATATTAGCAGCATAACAATTTCGATTGAAATATTTACTTACTTAAATAGCATATTTTGCTTCGATGGAAGCAAGAACTCCTGATTTGTATTTTATTTATTTATTTTACACAAGATCCATGATTAAAAAACATGGTCAATGTCACCAATTTCTTTTTTCTATAAAGTTGTTTTTGTTTGTTTGTTTGTTTGTTTTTTACTTGCTGTTTAATTCCAGTTAGGAATGTTTTCTTTATCTACCCTACAATGTATGCTTAGTCAATGCTTTTATCTTTTTATATTTTAATGTAAGACAAACTGATTCAATTATTAGGCTATAAGTAATAGTAAATTTGTTGGTTCAGACAAATTTTACATTCTGATAAAGGTCTAATACATTTTTATAATAATTAGGCTATATTCACACTTGTAAATTCATACTCAAAGTTTACACCAAGTGGGAGGATTTAATTCTGGCCCTTGCCCTCTCTGTAAATACTAAGTGACAATAAAGTCTAATAATACAATAGATAAAAGCATTTCTGCTGTATTAATTAATGGAGTTGTTGAATCTCTTTCACTTAATTAATAAATATAAAGTCAATTTATTTATTTATTTATTTACTTTATTTACACACACACGTGTTGGTATAGGTGGTTTACGGGAACATTCCATCGGCATAATGATTTTTACACTGTAAAAACTGTATATTCTATCCCCATAACCCTACCTCTAAACCACGGAAAACTTTCAGTATTTTTAAATTTTTTATAAAAAATCGTTTAGTATGTTTATTTTGCGTTTTGAATTACAAGGACATCGGTATGTCCACATAATGTAGGGGGCAAGGCCTGAAACCTGATACACAAGGAATACACAATATTTGCATTCTCATAATGTAGGTCAAACCAGTGCGTGCACACACACACACACACACACACACACACACACACACACATAATGGCACTGGCAAATCTGTAGGGGAACATGAAAAGGGCCATGAAATGGAACGTTTTTGCAAAGAAGAGTGCGAAAAATATTCCCAAGGCAAGATGTGCCACTAGTGTCACGTTTATGTCCTGTTTCGTGGATGCTTATGAAATACATGAAATGTATTTCTGTTCCCTTTGGTTCTGTCACGGTTCATGAATCCACTGTCTCATTCTGGTATGTTGTGTGTGTATGTGTGTCGGTGTGGGCGTGGTTACCAATTTGATTGTTTGCACCAGCTGCAAGTAGACTATGTTCAATAATTTCCGTCTCATGTTGTCAGATCGTTGTGGCTTCCCCGGTGTCGTGTCCTGTTCCCGTGTGGCTCTCTTTATCTCCTCGTGTTTTCCAGTCTTCGTGGATCTTCTTCGTTGTTTCACCGTCTGGATTGTTTATTGTTCCTGGTTCCTGAGCACATCGATTCACCACCACGAGTATTCCGGGTTGCCCATCGATGTCCCTGTGTCACAGCTACATCTGAGTGTTTGTCCCCGACCGTTTCTGTGTTCATCTGACCTTTTCTAATAAACGCCTTTTACTTGCAATTGTATCCGACCTATTCATCACAGGTTCCTGTGTTCCCTCTCTGTTTAGTTCCTGTTTCTTCATTTCCAATCATGTCATTTGTTGCTATGGTTACTGATTACATTACTCACCTGTGTCTTGTTTATTTGCCAGTTTGTTCAGCCCTCTAGTTCATTTGTGTTTTGTCTGTTCTTGTGGCATTATAGGGTGCTTCTCAATACTCAAATATGCTTCCTTGTTTCCTCGCTCCTCTGTCCTCCAGCCCATGGGAAATGATGAAAGAAAGCAATCTTGAAGGACATCTCAATCCTCTAATTGCAACGTGAAGAGGCGAGGAACGAGGAGTAAGGAAGCTTCCAGTGGAGAGCGAGGATGCTTCCAGTGGAGAGCGAGGATACTTTGAACGCAGCTGATGGCACTTTGAAGTGACGCTTGAGTGATCAAGAATATTCAAAAAAGCTTTCCTTCGATTCCTCTGTCCTCATTTACTTTCCTTGCAGCCTTCCCTCGCATCCTATGGGGGGTGGAGCTGAGACTCCAGGAAAGGAAACAAGAATGCTCAAATTAGAAATGAGAAGCACCATAAGTGTGGTTTTCTCTTCCCTACATTGATTTACCTGTGCTTATAAGAGATTTGTTTCATTTTCTTTTAATAAAAGTATTGCTGCAACTACCCTCTCTTCACCTCCTTGTTAACCACGCTACCACGACAGATAGACTCCTATCCAAACAAACTGAGTGCTGTAATAATATCAAAGGGTGCTTTAATGTCAAGTATTAGGCTAGTTAGTAATTCAGGTTTTTTTTCTCTTTGAAATGTGTAATTTTGTTTTTCAGTGGCATTAAAAAAATATATTTTTTGGATGTGCAAAAGTTCTGATTGAAAAGGTTATTTTTGTTTCATTTTTTATATCACAAAAAAACAGCTGTTTTAACATGGGTGTGTAGTCTTTTTATATCCACTCTGTATATATTGTATGTACTTCCTTTTTCTCTTTGTAATCAGTTTTTCATGCGTTATAAGGTGTTTAAGCCTTTTTGTGTAACTGTTTTTTTAATCTTAAAGAACAATAGTATTTTTGTTTGACAGAATTTGACTTTAATACCTTTAAACCGTACAAAGAATTTTGCTTAATCTGCGATGGAATTTTGCTAAAAAAAAAATGTAGAGAAACGAGTCGTTTCATCTTCCATTATAGTTACACTTTTATTACACTTCATGTGATTTTTCAATGAAATTTAATATAAAATCAACTCTGTCAGTAGTGAGCAGTATTTACACGTGTCACAGGAGCAGTGGGGTTCTAATAGTCAGTAGCAAGAACATGGACTCAGAGACTGAACCCTGCTGGTATTTATAGACTGCTGAGTCAGGGTCATGCACTGGCAGATCACTGCTATAAGCAAAAAGTGGGTGGGGAGACTGACAAAAACAGCTGCAGAGATATCAAACAACCATTCGATATACATGTTATATCTTTGATCTCTTTTGTCGAACATTAACGCAAAATAAGCAGTCCAAACATAGGCGTTGTTTTATGTTTCTGCCAATGAAATACATCCAAATACATCCATAGCTACATTACCAACATAGTCCCCTGGCCACTGACTTGAGACTGCTGGTCTAGGATCAGTTTTCTGCATAATAATAGCAAATGACCAAAATGGCCAAGCACCCATGGAACTGTGTGTATTTACGACCCACCGGGACCCGATGTGAAATCCACCAATCAGAGAGGTCCCCGAATCTCAATTTGTTTTTTGATTGGATAAAATGAATGGAGAACATCTCGTGTTTTTTCCGTGGGTGCTTGGCCATTTCCATTTGTCTGCAGATGTTTACTTATCATAACAGCTTTTAAGATAATCTTGAGATTGTATAGGCCTAGTCTTATTTTAAAGTGCTTTGAGACATGAGGTAATTTAATACCGTTAAGAAAATAAGAAAACAATATGACTGTTCCTTTAAATATGGAACATGATGCCATTTTGTTTTATTATTTTGCCCAAATAAAATCATGCATTTGTTACTACTTCTATTATTGATTAATATCAGGATGTGAAGAGTTTCAACCAGAATAACATGAACAAAAAATTGCCTACCCTACCTTTAAAAGGGTGGTTGCTTATGATTTCACTTTTCTAACTTGTGTAATGTTGCTGTTTGAGCCAAAACAACATCTGCAAAGTTACGACGCTCAGTTCAAAGCAAAGGGAGCTATTTTCTTTTACAGACATTGCTTTTTAAGGACTACAACAAACGGCTGGTAGGGACTACACAAGCTTCCTCCCGGGTTAGTGACATCACAAACCCTAAAATTTACATAATCCCCACCCTCGGGAACACGCAAACAGTGTTGAGAAGAGGAAGAGTTTCATTAGTAGAGCACGTCTGCTCAAGCTATCACATCCATCTTTTCACATGTATTGCAAAATGCAAAAAGACGTTACACAAATGCAATAGCATGTCACTCTGTAGGCATCTTACAACAGTTCCCACACTAGCGATTTATAGATTATCATGACAGAATATGCTAATCAATGACTTGAAGATAGTTAACTCCACATCAGCTACATAAATTTATCAACTAACCATTCAGAAATGTCCTGTTGCATTCCACATGTTGTCACTTCTTGAGTCTCTCCATCATTGTCCGACTTCGGTTTGATCATAAAAGGCAGAACAGTTTCTGACATTTTAGTGTGTGTCTGCAAGCTGATAACACACAAGCTCTCTATGCTGGGAGCAGCAAATCATTTGCATTTAAAGGGACACACACAAAACGACACGTTTTTGCTCAACCTCAAAAAGGGGCAATTTTAACATGCTATAAAAAATGATCTGTGGGGTATTTTGAGTTAAAACTTCACATACACACTCTGGGGACATCAGAGACTTATTTTACATCTTGTAAAAAGGGGCATTATACCACCCCTTTAATGATATCACTCACTTGCATTCACACATGTACACAGTAACCTATACTCATGACCAATAAATACTGTTGATAAAGGAAGATGATAAAAGAAGTACAACTTGTTTGATTTATGTTTCATTTATGTTTTTAATCAATCTGTACAGCACTAAAAGACTTTTGATTACAACAATAAGGTATCAAATTCATTGAAGGGATTCTTTGTTTTATTTATGGTAGGCCCATACACATATAACACTGCAGTGAAAATCATATAAAATGGCACATCTGGGGCTTGCAGCGATTGAAAACATACATGAAAACATAAATTTCATATAAACAACATTGCAAATTTTGGTAAAAGTGAAAAAATGTGCTTGAAATGTTCAGTCATTTCATTCATTTAAATGTGATGCATTCAGAGTATCGTGAAATGTCAGGACAACTGAATTTAAACTCACCAAAACAGTCCAGAAAGTCTCAAATTATCCATGATATCATGTCAAACAGTCCATGGTGGTTTCATTTACAACATTTTAAATACATTGTAAATATTCAGAAAATCACATACAATTCCAAGAAAATAGAAATCTGAAATGACTTATTATGCTGCTTGATAAAGTCCCTGAGCAAATGTTTCGCTCTCTTACTGTGATCAATAAAATCCATTAGCCAATTGATATTAAATCACACATAGTGATTTGGCCTTTAATCAATGTTGACAGTAAAAAAAAAAGACTTGCATCAACATCCTTTCTCTTAAAGTGAAAGGGAACTGTGCACCTGATGCGTTTCTCCAAACTTTATATTGCTTTGGCAGAAATGGTACAAGAAATGGTCAAATCAAGCTAATAGATGTGTGCTGCTTAGGGAAAGTTTTTTTTAGTACATGTTTCAGTCATGCACTTTTCAGTATAGGCGGAAGTCACTTAATCTGAAAAAAACAAAACAAAAAAACATGCAGCGGCTTTTGAAATCCCGCAATGATCAGTAGAGGGGGCTCCAGTTGAATGTTCCTATGGATATTAGAGTCTGGCACGTGTTGGAAGACAGCCACACCATCTCCACTAAACTGTAATGAAGGAATCCCAAGGCAAAGCCACATCCGACATCTGTCAGATGGTGGCGACCCAGAAACACACGGGATGTGCCAGCTAGGAAGGCCCATAACACAAGCAAAATACGCAGAGGAACTGCAAGCACCAAGTGTGCTAACAGGAATTTAGATACCATGGCTGCTCGGCTTGCATGTGCTGCTGGGAAAGAATAAATATCCATGGCCAGGTAGTCGAGGAAACTGGGTGCCATTTCCCAAGGCCCTTTACGCTTCACCAACTTCTGCATGCCTGCTACAGTCATCACATCCAGAAAGAGAGCTGTAAAGCATTGATGTTAAATGTACGTTATTAAAGCAATATCAGTCTCACAAGAATATTTTTGGCTATAGCATGGGTGTGATTTGGCCACAAGAAATCACACTCGTCATGATATACAGCCATAACACACTCTTGCGAGTATGAAATTGCTTTTATAAAACAGTTCAAAGGACATGCATGTAAATAAGTAAGGAAAAACCAATGGGTCTTCCAAACCCCCTCTTGTGTGTGGAACTACTTTCTTACACCTCAGATTCAAATCTCTTATTGCTAGTTCAAAAGACGTTTCCAGTGTGTCTCCATTACTAATTCGAAAACATCATGTTAGAACTAGCAAAGACGGCTTAAGCCATTTCTGATGAGGAAAAATCAGAAACGGCTTAAGCCAAGTAGATTTCTGTTGGCCAACGGAGCAAATCGGAGAAATCTTAAACCTGTTGCAAAGTCTGCGTGGGTAAATTTTTCACACTCCGGCTAAATTCCAGATCGCATGGATTCCTATTGAAATGACGTGATTTCACCCATGGAAATTTGCTGAACATCGTACAGATGTGACCGCATCTTAACACTGTGGAGGAGATAGTGGATGTCAATGGAGGAGAGAGGCTTACATATGATGCAGCAGAGCCATGGAGGCTGGTATCTCCACATAATAATAATTAACATCTCAGGCAAAATTGATAATTAAAGCTGTATTATCCTAATCAAGTTTGAAATCAGGATCGCCAAGAAGACTGCTAAAATAAAGATTTACAGTGAACTGACTCAATTCACTTCAGAGACAGATTAAACCACTGGAGTAGTTCGGATTAACTTTACACTATACACTGTAAAAAAATTGCTGTAGTTATGCAGCTGTTTGCCAGTAACTTACTGTAGATTTAAATTGATGTATATTTACTGGCAACAGTTTGTTCAAAGTTAAATGAACATTAAACATTAACAAGTCTTTGTCTTTACAGAATAAAATTATAAAATAACAATCTAATGCAAAGCATTCTGGGAACCAGAAATCTTCATCAACCTTTTTCAGTTTTTTTTTCCTTCAGATTTTGGTTCCCAGAATGCTTTGCATGAGGCTGTTATTTTAGTTTTATTCTGTAAAGATAAAGACTTGTTAATGTTTAATGTCCATTTAACTTTGAACAAACTGTTGCCAGTAAATAACATCAATTTAAAACTACAGTAAGTTACTGGCAAGCAGCTCCCAGTAATACTGTAATTTCTACAGATTTTTTATTTACAGTGTATTCACAAATTTCTTGGAGCTTTACAGTTTTGGTCATTGTTTACTTGCATTGTATGAACCTACAGTGCTGAAATATTTTTTTCTTCAAATCTTCATATGTGTTCCGCAGAAGAAATAAAGTCATACACATCTGGGATGGCATGAGGGTGAAATAAATGATGACAGAATATTAATTTTGGGGTTTTGGATCCCAATGTAAAATAAAAGGAGTAGTAAAAATAATAAATTATAGCATTTAAATGAAAAGTGCCAGCGTGTTTAAGCGTGCAATGAACTAGTCACATCAGTCAGAACACATTTTCTTGTATTCCCTTATCCACTGACCTACAAACCCAACAGCATCCTCACAAGTCGCTAAAAACCCTCCATGTGAGCACAATGTGGTTTCAAATTCATTCCAAAATCAAATGCACTTAACAGGATTCTCAATTATACATTATTATTTTGAAGGCCATTTTAATCCCAGAAATCGTTTACATCACATTTAAATATCTTTCAGACAGAGCTTCAAAAATACAAATAAATTTAACATTACATACACTGGAATTATCCAAACAATTTTTATTTAAATTGTATAAATTAGTAGGCAATAAATTATCCTTAGCCTAAGTAAATGTAGGGATTTAACAAGAATATCAACTGTTTTACTCTTTCTGTAAGTCATTCGACACGAAGGTCTGCGGTTGGTTTAGAGGAAGACATTTCTCAATCCCAGTAGCATGTGTTTGACCAAAATAGTAGCCTAATGTTTATATAGCCGCCCACATTTTTAAACTGTGACACATCCGGACGTTCTTCAGAGCGTCAGTATTTCACTCCTAATCAGAAAAGCGTTACAACTCACCTAGCAGCAAATTGACCAATACCTCTTGACCTGCCAACGTGTTGCTTCTTGTAAGACACAATATTGTACCGAAGATCCACGGGATGCCATGGCCAGTGAGCGCGAGCAGCTTGACCATAGAGCGCACGCTTCCCCACGACGATGTGGGGTGCGCGCACACGCCGAGCCGCTTAGACATACAAATATCAATGGCCAGAAGAGAGTTCATAGCGATGCCTTTGAATGAGGGGTTAAGCTGCATGCAGTCTTCTTCTGGTAATTCCTTCTTGTCTTTATTGTTCTCGGGAGACTCGTTCTGCGCATTTTCGCCTGGCTGGTGTTGATTTTGCTGTTGTCTCTGCGACGGCCTCCGCGCAGTGCCGCGAGCTTCCGCGCCAGCGCTCTTTAAAGGCTGATTTAGAGACATAAACTCGGGTCTGTTCAGCACATTGTTTCGCTCCCTCGCCCTGGATCGAGTCTGGTTTACAGGCATCTTGATTTTCCACTGTCCTTCTAGCCTTAAATGTGTTTTACTGTCCTGTTCTTCACACTGAGAGACAGTGAACGGTCTACCATGTCCATTCCCAGATCATGTCTTGCTCTGTTCTAAGAGTTGCGACTTCTATTCCAGTTACACTATAAATAGACATTCCAGCCGCCTGGATACATGAGACGCATCCACATGCTGCCTTATTACAGCTGAAAATCAAGACAAACAAATGACACTCAACTAAGAAAATCGCTGTAAACATGCAAACAAATAAACAAATAGATAGATAGATAGATAGATAGATAGATAGATAGATAGATAGATAGATAGATAGATAGATGTTATAAAATGTTGTTGTTTCTATTGCAAATACCAATTGCAACGCGTCAATGCTGCACTATATGATAATTCCCATGCTTTCGTATAGGCAAATGTTATTTATTTATTTATTTATTTTCCAAAAAGTGTAAGCTGGAACTATTTAGGCTGTATTATTTATTTAACTAAATAATATAATATAAATAATAAAAAAATATATAATATAAACCCCATGCAATGCAGTGCCTTAACTGAGTTCAAAGTCTATCATAAATAAATTAAATCAATATTGTTATACATAAGCTTACTGTTGTGGCATCAAAAAAGGCCCTTTAAAGTTAAAAGCCTTTATCAGAACTCCATTACAATTCTACCAAAAACTGCATTACCCCTCCCCATGCATATCTCACCCATTTTCTTTGCTGTTTTATTGTTGTCTTCATGAGTTTTGTTTTTATCTTTTTGAATAATTTGTACGGAGAAAAGCGCCAGGGAAACTGTAAACATGAAAGCTTTATTTGTAAAGCTGCTGAATGTAATTGTTTCACTCACTTGGCTATAAATGACTGAAACCTGTTGACTCTTCAGTCCCCTGACTCTAAACTACACTACCCAGGATGCAAAACGTCGTCAAGAAGGGAAGTCTAATTCTAAGCCGCTCGGATAAAAAAAGCTAACAGCTGAAGTATTGTATTACACCAGAGGAACCTGACTACCCTTTAATAGGGCAAGGGCGACACAAAGTAACCCGACTGGTCACGCTCTTTAAATCTCTCAGATATGACGCGGAAATTAAGGGCACCGATATTTGATTTGACACTAGACATTTTACTCTCAAGTTATGCCAGAAGACGCAGCGTGGAGCGCGAGCTGTAAGGAGCCTGTATGGATTTAAACTTAAAGTAATGTTTCGTGTTCTTTTTGCCATCCTGATGGACCTTTTGAATTATGGATCGAATCAACGGCATAATACTGTTGACTGGAGCGCAGCGTAACAGGTCGTAATGCCGCACTATTGGACTGTGCCTAACAGGTGCTTAGACATTTCTGGATAAATCAAAGGCACGTATGAGCTGACACATCATATATTTTATGGCGAACTACGCGAAATAGCTATAGTTCCATAAATATTTAATTTAATTAAAATGTATTAGAATGAACATGTAAGGTTATGTTATTTTTGCTCGACTGAAGGAGGGGAAAGATCTGGGATTTATTAATGCTGTGGCAAGAAATTACAAGAAATATGTAGTGATCCATTATGTTGACATGTCAGGAATCATGTCATGGATCATGCCATAGCACTGTGACCACAGACTTGGGCCCTTTTACTCACATTATGAATAATACTGCTTTATTTGGATACTGATGGGTGTTTGTGCTGCCAGTCTGAAGAGCCTCCACCATGGGATGTGTACAGAGTGTAAAACTCAAGCCAAGTTTTCATGAGAACATCACAGTCCTGGAACTGCAAGCCTCCATTGATCCTAGTCCAACTGTCATCGATGAGTCATCTAATGTAGTTTTACGTTACCGCACGCCTTACTTCAGGGCATCAGCTCAGGTGCAGGTGCCACCCATGCTTTGCAAAGAGATCTGGACTGTTGGCTGGATCCAGGCTTGCAATCAAATGGATTTCTTCAATATATATGGAAATGAAGGAGTGTAAGTGCGTTCATTGTGTAATACTATAAATAGATATGCTGAATACTATTGCCTTTTTAGTGCCTTTATTGTTTTGGGCCCCTATACCTTTAAAAAAAATAAAATGTGGAAATTGGTGTGCATGAATCCCTAATCTAGAGGCTGATTTTCACTGAATACTGTCAACACTCTTAAAAAATAAAGGTTCGTCATTGTCATCAACGGTTCCATGAAGAACCTTTAACATCCAAGGACCCTTTCCACTGCACTAAAGTTTTGTTATAGTGGAAAAAGTTTCTTATGATAATTTAAATATTCTTCACACTGAGAAAAAAGAGGTTCTTTTTACAGAAAGCTTCTAAAATTGTCCTTCAATTGCATCACGAAAACCCCCTTTTTGAACTTTTTTTTTTTTTTTACAGTTCATTTGCAAGTGAAAAAAGTAAGTCAGCACGAAACAAAGATTTGCAACTACAAATTTGCAAAATCATTTTGCATAAAAGTCAATGCGTATATAAATACCATTTAGTCACATTATTGTGTCAAAAACATAGAAATACTTGAAAATAGTAGAAAAGGTTGATCTCTACTAAAATCATTCCCACCTTTTGCCCTATACATTGTGGTGGTGTAGAGTGCAGTAAAATACCATTAAAATATTGTACAAAATGAACTGAGCTAATTGATCTCAGATACTTTCTTCATAGGTGGCATGATGCTGCCGCAAAACTATGTAAAACTATTTCTCAGGATGTTAGTGATGTTTATGGTCCAACTTCCTGGGATTGTTTCCTCAACAGCAGAAAAGTTGAACACACCCCTAGAAGGACAAAGGCTTGTCCTTTACCAGCGTATGTCAGTCAGGTTTTATTTCTACTAAGTTTATGTATTCACATCTTTATGACATTAACAATTACAGGGTTGTTAACTGTTAGTGAATGTCAAATCTTGTAGGTCTTAGTAATTTCTTGTTTTGAAACTTTTACACACATATACTCGTTAGTTTTTTGTTTTGTTTGTTTCAAATTCTATAGATTGGGTGGAACATAATTGGTTAAACACTTAAGGTACATCAATGTAAGAGTGTATCACTCAGCATATCATATAAACAACTTGAAAACACCTGACAAATATGTGTCATCTTCCCTCTTTAGATCCAGCTGGGAGCTCCCAGAATTGAGATGTGGGCAGATTCAGGCCATCAGTGATTCAGACGGTGTGAATTACCCCTGGTACGGCTGCACCACTGAGATATACACAATAGTGGGCCCAACTAAGAAGAGCACCAAACTCACTGTCAGCATGAACGACAACTTCTGTCCAAGTGTGACGTGGAGTGTCCCAGTGGGCACCACTAGCAGTCCCCCTCTCCTGAGCTCCATCCAGAGGGACCAACGCTTCACCACCTGGCTGGTGGCCATGAACGAAACCACAGCTGAAATGGTGCTACTCCGAACCATCCGCTGGAGGATGCAGCTCTGCATTAAAGTGGATCCAAAGAAGCCTCAGGGTCAAAGAGCCACAGTTATGGAGCCAGTGATCCAGGAGCAGCCTCAAGTCCTAGTTAGGAACGAACCCATCCCAACAAACGCCTTGCTTAAGCCTAATGCCAATGATGCCCAGGTTCTAATGTGGCGGCCTAGAAGTGGGAAGCCCATTGTGGTCATCCCCCCAAAATACCATGAAGGATATTTCCTTCCATTTTAACTTGAAATGATTAAATATTGCTCAGTTAAATGAAGTATGGCATGGAGTGAGTGAGAATGCTATTAAACAGGGCTACTGAGTTAAAGTTTTAAAGAAACAAAGGTATTATTTGTGTATTTACTGATTGTTAATGTGCTGTTTAAGGACACACATTTATCATATTGTGTACTGTTTTGTTTTTAGATATTTTAATATTTGTAATTTGTAAGACAAAACTGCATGTGGCCTTTGCATACTTTGCTATATGGACTGAAATGTGGCCTTATAAAACCAATTATTATGAACTAAACTAAAATCATTTGTTCACACAGTTTGAGATGATTATTAAATGTATAATGAAGGCGGTATATTTATTTTTAGTCCAGTGTGGCCAAAGTTTTGTTGCCTTTTGTTTTGTGCAATTACAGGAAACACATTTGCAAATGTCACTTGTGTGCATGGCCTCTTACAGAATGTTCTCTGGTCTAGAACTGTGAATAATTGAATTGTCTTCTCATGTTTTAAGAGGCAGCTTTTCAGGAGCACAAGCTGTGTTTCAGGTACTTCATCTCTATTTTTTTTTTTTTTGACGTGGAGAACATTTAGGTGCTAGATAAGGTGAATACAATAAAATCATCGTGTCACTGTTTTTTTTCCACAGTCTGGGTTTTGTCTATTATATATACATTCAAAACTTCACTAAAGGGCAGACAGCTTAATTCTAGCTTTGCTTGTCAGTTTAAATAATATCCAAATTTATTATACAAGACAACTTGCTTCAGAATAGCATTTGAACTTCATATTACTGATACTATTAGTTGATGATTATAACCAACAATTGTATCTGAATCCTCAAAGCTTTGTTCTTTGTTTGAGAGCTTTCTCTCAATAGGGACCATATGACCTGATTCTAAAATACTCCACGTTGCCCTATTTTTTACTCTTATGTATTCATTTAAATCTCAAAAGTCTTGTATCTACAGAGACTAGGACATCCTTATTTGTCACATTGTTTAGTATTATCACTGTAAATATGAACCAACAAGTGAGAGCAGGGGTTCTAAATATCTAGTTTTAGGGTTCTGAACTCTATAGCCATCGAGGTCCACTTTCCAGAGTTTAGTGGCGACCTTGGTTAAACGTACATACCAGTAACTTTCTAGTTATCCTGAAGACCTTCATTAGCTTGTTCAGGTGTTTGATTAAGGTTGAGGGTCAGAGTTGAGAACCCCTATAGACTAGAAAATCTAAATATTTGTATTAATGAGAACAGCATTATAGGGAAAAGGGCTAAACTTTAAATTTCTGATGAAACGGAAGTAGTGACAAATCTTTTACTCCGTACAGTATTATATTAAGCGACTGACCTTTTCTTCTAAAGACCAAATCACACTGCACTGACAGACACAGATCGTGTTGGACAGACAGCAACAGACACGTGTGTTTTGTCGGATCAGTGTGTTATTCCTGTCGGCTGTGCGTTGGTCTGCGTTTGATGGTGCAAGTGTGCATTGGCCTTTAGGAAGCCAATTCACTTTAACTGTTTTGATTCTATTGTAATTCAAATATTGCAGCCATGTGTTTACTTTCTACAGCCTTGCTAAAAAGAAAAGAGACTTCAAATAAGAAAGATCATGATACATCTCTGAATTATACATGGGTTTAGTGATTCTTTGTGCTCTTCCACTGTGACTGCCCCTTCCTTTCATATATTCTATTGTTATGAGGTGCACGCACACACACACACACACACACACACACACACACACACACACACACACACACACACACACACACACACACACACACACACACACACACACACACACACACACACACACACACACACACACACACACACACACACACACACACACACACACACACACACACACACACACACACACACACACACACACACACACACACACCTGGAGAAACACTGGAACTCACTCAGTGCTGTTAAGCAAGTCAAAATGACATTGTCTGACCACCCGAATTTACAAATGATTCCTGAATGGAAGAAGCAATATATTAGCTATGAGGTGAGTTTGGTTTCATGTTCTTGGATATATTCTTCACACTTTTAACCTTTCAGAGATGTAGTACAACTGTAATTGTAACTTAGCATGATTAATGAACCAAATACAGTTTTTTTTATTCGCTTTGGTACTATTTTCACAAGTAAGGTGTACATTTTCAAAACTCTTAGTGCTAATATCACAACAGATCATCAAAAGTGCACTTTTTTCAAACATTTCATCATGTTTTCAATTGTGTTAGTACAATTCACAAAATCACAAAGTATCCTTTTCACAACACAAAATAAGTGTTTCATCTACATAAATGTTTCATTCACAGTAACTGCCTTTCATAAAGCTCTTACCATCAAACTTTTGATTTGCATCTCTTTTTGTTCAGTTTAATACATTTGTCTATTATTTAATCCAACTGATCTTAATGGTTAATCAATTAATCATTTGGTACACCTATAGATTTCTATACAAGTGAAACTCGAAAAATTAGAATATCGTGCAAAAGTTAATGTATTTCAGTAATTCAAATTACAGTAAAAGGTGAAACTAATACATTTATAGTATATGGAACTACAGTATATAGGCTACACATGCATGATTATACTTTTCAGAGGGCCGACATTTCTGTATTTACGTACAGTAAAATTCTTTTTTTATTGATTTCATGTAATCTAATTTTCTGAGATTTTGAATTTGGGTTTTTCATAAGCTGTAAGCCATAATCATCAAAATTATAACTTTTGCACGATATTCAAATTTTTCGAGTTTCACCTGTAGATATTGATTCTATATTTCTATAGAACTTGTTTGCAATTTCCGATATGGATAACCAAATTTAATGAATTCTTATTCATTACATTCTTATTCTTATTCGATTTATAGATAACCACCACTATGTTCAAAGTGTGTGCACACGCATGTGTGTGTGTCTGTGTGTGAGAGAGATACAGATAAATTTGCCATTTGTGAAAACACTGTAAAGCAGAATAGAGTATAAGTGAGATAAACGGTCGATTACTGTAAAACATTAGATTGATTAGAGATGCATCAGTAGAAGGGAGACAGATGGCATCAAATACAGCATTTTACATTACAGTATGTATGCCATGTGATACTGTAAACAGATTACCATGGTAGAGACTGCCACATTACTGTAACCCAACCTTCATCTGTATAGGTCCACTACTGTATATATAGATTCAGTCAAATGGTATAGAGTGAAATCATTTACAGTACTGTATTGCCAGCAAACTCTGTTCTAGCACAGAACCTCATGGCTGTATCATACTTCATCACAGCTTTTGATAACTCACTGCAGATACTATTACAAACATTATGGATTCAATTACATAAGTTAGGTAATGCATGTGTATTTTCTAATGTGACAACTGTAGCCTGTATTACTGTAATTATTTCAGCAACAAGGGTGATTTGAAACATGTGTCTTGCATTGTTTGCTGTTGAATGAACTGATTGTTAAAAGTACTAAACTGAAAGAAGATCATACTGTTGTGTTTCTGTGATTAAACCAAACGTTCTCATTACATATTACAATAATCTTGTTTTTGAAACAATGATTATGTGGACTGAAAAATGTATAACTGTAATGAAAGCATGAGGCCATGTTTTGAAAGAATGACTAGCTGCGTTACAAGTGTGATCAGTTTGGATTTTTGTACTAAGAGTTTTGAAAATGTGCACCTTACTTGTGAAAATAGTACCAAAGCGAATAAAAAAAACTGTAATAGAAAGCATTTTGTTTTTCAGACCCTGAAGTCTATGCTGAAACAGAAAGACAGACTTAACCTCAGTTGTTATGGTAAGAGCATCGGCATATTGGTTGTTTTAGATGGTGAATTCTAGTTATGTGAGAGTACTCCACCATCAAAATAACATTTCTTAGTCATTTGCATATTTGCATGAATTTTACAGTGTTAAAATGAGTTTTAAAAAATGAATGATGTCAACTTAAGGCATATTTATGACTGTCATTTACAACAGTATAACCTCATAAATTATTCCCATTGGAATTAAATGCATGATAGATTTCGACTTTCTATGGCAGGTATCCTCACAATATCAAAGGTGAAGCAGGTCAAATGAATCATTAATAACTTTGCAAAGGAGAATGCTTAATGAGGGAAAGGATTGAGATGTTGTGAATGGCTGTACGCAGGGAGTTAGTGAATAATATTACAGTTTTATTATTCGCTTTAGTTCTATTTTCACAAGTAAGGTGTACATTTTCAAAAATCTTTGTACAAAAATCCAAACTGATTACACTTGTAACACAGCTAGTCATTCTTTCAAAGCCTGATCCCATGCTTTCATTACAGTTATACACGTTTCAGTCCACATAATCATTGTTTCAAACAAGATTATTGTAATATGTGATGATAACATTTGGTTTAATCACACTGAAACACAACGGTATGATCTTCTTTCATTTAGTACTTTTAACAGTCAGTTCATTCAACAGCAAACAATGCAACAAACATGTTTCAAATGTTTCCTTGTTGCTGTAATAATTACAGTAATACAGGCTACAGTTGCCACATTATAAAATACACTTACATTACCTAACTTATGTAATTGAATCCATAATGTATCTAAAGTATCTATCTGGTGTGTTATCAAAAGGTGTGATTATGAAACTGCCATGAGATTCTGCTAGGACAGAGATTGCTGGCAATACAGTAAATGTTTTCACTGTATGACTGAATCTAGAGTGTAGTGGACATGAACAGCTGAAGGGTGAGTTACAGTAATGTGTCAGTCTCTGGTAATCTGTTTACAGTATCACATGGCATACATACTGATATGTAAATGCTGTGCTTGATGCCATCTGTCTCCCTTGATGCATCTCTGATCAATCTGATGTTACAGATCATAGTCAGTGACTGTTTCTTCTCCCTTGTACTCTATCCTGCTCTATGTTCACAAACGCTCTCTCTCTCTCACACACACACACACACACACACACACACACACACACACACACACGCACGCATGTGCACACACTTTGAACATAGTGGTGGTTATTATCTATAAATCACTTATGTAAAAAGAATTAATTACACTTGGTTATCCATATCGGAAATTGCAAACAAGTTCTATAGAAGCTGTCTCAATATCTATAGAAATCTACAGATGTACCAAATGATTAATTGATTAATTGATTAACCATTAAGTTCAGTTGGATTAAATAATAGACACATGTATTACAGTTTTTTACAATCACTTTGCTACTATTTTCAGAACCTTGATGTCATTTTTCAAAACTCTAGACACAAAACTCAAAACGATAATCACTTGTAACAAAGGCTGTCTAATGTTCAAAACATTGCATTGTGCATTCACATCTTTAAAGAAATCTTGCACTTGCACAATCATTGGTTCAAAAAACAAATTAACTGTGAAATACCATTGAAACATAACTATAGATCACCCACACACAAGCAACCGATAGTTTCACTGTGTCATTGTTCGTACAATCATTAAATATTGTAGAGCAAAATAGGTGATACAGGTTTCATTATGGTACTA